CAGAAGGGACATGAACCAACACTCCTCTCCTTTCTCTACTTACCCTAGAGTATGGAGGTCAGGATAATTCAAGCAGTAATTGTGTTATGCCCTGTTCTTTCAGTGTGCATTAAAATCATACAGGGGATATGACTTGTTATTACCTTGGTAAGATGTCATAGACGGTAGAAGATAAGAGATAACTATTTGTATTTCAACAGCTTTCCCTCAGTCTAAAACATGTGAAAATTAATAAAAAGAAACCTCACTAAAGTGGACTTGGGAGTCTAGAATGGGAGGCTGGAAGGGGGAGCCCTACATTACTTAGAGGAAGAATTGTCGATTACAGGCCCCAAAAGAAGAATCAACAGGAAAGAATCATCAATTACAGGTTCCAACAGGAAAGGACATGCATTGCATCTCATTCAAGAAATTGAGTACCCCAGCAACCCAGCCAATGAGAAAACATCATCACCCGGCACTCTTGCTTTCTTTCAGTGGGCTGTCATTCAAAACAACCCCTTCCAACCTCTTTTTTCTCCATAAAATAAGATTCCTCTCCTTTGTTTGTTGAACTTTCCTATGGTTTTGTCATAGCTTCCGTGCCTCGAATCGCAATTCTCCATTATTCCCAAATAAACCCATTTTGCTGGTAAAATAACTGACAATTTTAGTCTTAAGGTGAACGAACAGCTTTCCATATCATTATTTTTAACAGAGCTAAAACCAGGAATGTACAAAAAATAAATAACTTGATCAATTAGTATCACTAATCTCATTTTGTTTTCCAACCTCAGACTTTCTCTTACAGTGGGGGAGAGGTCAGGGCACTTAATTTTGCTGGCCTCCCTTCTGCAGTCTTTTGTGGGATTATTTAGCCACAGCTAAAATAATCATATTTTACAAACTGAAAATTTTCTTAACTTCATAATCTGAGGAGTAAAGGACTTCTGAGAGAAGATACATAAAATCTTGCCCTGAAAATTTAGGACATACACTTGCCACACCTGGAACAAACAGGCAAATGCCTGGACATGTAATTACCTTAATATTCTTGAAAGAGTAATTATTTTTGGCCTTTTCTCACTTAGAACTTCATTAATTAAGGATTAAGTTCATTTTTCTATCTCTTAAAGGTTAAAAGGGGGGAGGCGCGGAATGGGGAGGAAGGGAGTTAAAATAGCCATTCACTCAATAAATCCAGTTCCAGGAAAAAAAAAAAGGTAAGCCTTAAATCAAGGGAAGGGCTAGGCTGGCTACTTTTTCATTTCTGGGTGGTTTTTAGAAGCAGTTTGAGAATCTACAGTGGGATCGACACAGAGCCGTGGGAGTGAGAGAGTTTCTGCTCTTTTTTTCCTCTTGCTTTTTTAATCATTAAAAATTCTCCAAGAGGTTATTTGCCAAGACCAACCCTGCTGAAAGTTGTTGCCAGATTTTCCTAGACCTAAATGCCCAACTGCTGAACATAGTATTTTCTGACTCTCCAAATATCAAAAATGAACATGCAAAATATTCTGAGAGGTGAAGCAAATCGCATCCACGCTCTCAAAAGAGGCCAGCAAAGGTGAACAAAGACCTCTGCTCTCAGGCTGACGGCAATATTCCACTCTCAAATGTTTCTATTGTTTCAACCTAGTGAACTTTTACCTACAAAAGTCTTTCTTTGAACAGTCTGATCAAAAACAAGGTCTTTAATTTTTTTTGTTGTTTGTTTACTTACAGCCAAACCTTTAGACAGAAGGCCAACTCCCAGTGGTCAGTTTCAAACAGGTTAACTTTGGCCTCCCGCAAGAGATTTTTTAAGATTCCACAATCTTCTGACAGATATGTGAATGATGCCAGTGTGCTTGACTTTATCTACTCTTCCGAAGCGTTTCCTCCCTCCTAGGGCACACCTGAAGGGGAGTGGTATGGATTTAAGAGAACAACTTTAATGGGTAATCTCAGTCCAGTCCTATAAGGAGGAGTACAGTTGATTAAGTGATGACCCACAGATCTGTGTTGGCATGGTTAAATCTGCAGGTAGAAGGAGGAGAGAGAGGATAGGGAATGTCAGTGCAGCCATATTAAGTGTGCCTCCATGTTCTTGTTTTCAACCCTTCTCCTTGTGAATCTCCCACGCATGTTTATCTACTGCTTTTTCATACAGGATCAAGGGTAAAGTTACCAGGGAAAAGCAATTACAGACTAAAAAGTCTCATTCTTGTGCTTTAGGAATGTTACCCTCTGGGACGCCTGGGTGGCTCAGTTGGTTAAGCGTCTGCCTTCGGCCCAGGTCATGATCCCAGGGTCCTGGGATCGAGCCCCACATCAGGCTCCCTGCTCCGCGGGAAGCCTGCTTCTCCCTCTCCTGCTCCCCCTGCTTGTGTTCCCTCTCTCGCTGTGTCTCTCTCTGTCAAATAAATAAATAAAATCTTTAAAAAAAAAAAAGAAAATCATTTAAACTTCAAACTGCTGGTTAAGTAAGCAGATTAACTGACTGATTTTTGCAATGCCACACTTACAGGTAGGTAACGTTTCCAAAACTCTCAAGTATTTGGAATACAGTCCAGGGACTAGATATCAGTGAGTAAATAGCCATCAAAGAGTACATGCATTTTGTTCCTTCAGAAGTATAAGTGCCCTCACACAGTCATTCAATTGTGTATAAAATAAAGAGATCAGGTACACAAACCAGAGATTCTGATAGCAGACAGCAGAGTCCATTCAGATAATCTAGAAGACAGAGCAACTTGCTACAGCTGTTTAGTCCAGAAAATAACTCTGGGGTTATTAACAACGATGATAAAATGGCTACCATTTACTGAGTGCTTACTATGGTCTACTGGGCACTATTCTAGGTAGTAGGTAACTATTATCCCCAATTTACAGGTGAGAAAACTGAGACATGGATTAAATAACTTGATGTGCTACAGTGGACAGAGGCAAGTTCAAAGCCACCTCTGTCAAACTTCAAAACTTAAGTCGGACCTATTTTGCTTTACTGCTCTATATTCCAATCCCAACTCTTCCCTAATATATTTTCAAACAAAGACATCTACATTCCATATTGTCTGATAAACAGCACAGGGAACTATGTAATATATTTTCAGACATTTAAAATCCAATACATACAAATTTCTTGGTATTTAAAGAGTAAACTTTAAATATCTGGAAAATTTGGGGCACCTGGATGGCTCAGTTGGTTAAGCATCTACCTTTGGCTCAGGTCATGACCCCAGGGTCAAGGGATTGAGCCCCAAGTCGGGCTCCCTGCTCCGCAGGGAGTCTGCTTCTCCCTCTGCCCCTCCCCCCACTCGTTCTCTCAATCTCTCTCTCTCTCAAATAAATAAATAAAATCTTTTTAAAAAATTGGGGCGCCTGGGTGGCTCAGTTGTTAAGCGTCTGCTTTCGGCTCAGGTCATGGTCTCAGGGTCCTGGGATGGAAGCCCCGCATCGGGCTCCCTGCTCGGCAGGAAGCCTGCTTCTCCCTCTCCCACTCCCCCGGCCTGTGTTCCCTCTCTCATTGTGTCTCTCTTTGTCAAATAAATAAATAAAAATTTTTTAAAATCTTTAAAAAAAATAAATAAATACCTGGAAAATTTATTTATATGGAAAATAAATGACAATGCTTTCATTAATTCATGTGTTGATTCAATGAAGGCTTGATTGTGTATATTCTATGTGTGTTTCATCATGACTTAAAGGACATTCTTTAACTCAAACTTCTTCAGCTCTGCAGTGATGAATTTGCTGTGGTTTGCATGGGACTTTTTATAGTTTTAGCAATCTAACTCCCACACTCCAAGAAACCCCTCAGTCCTGGGAAAATCAGGACAGTTGGTGGCTCTAGCTTCACAAAACATAAGGGTGCTTTAAAGTTGCTTTTGGATGATGGTGCTGATTATAAATAGGATCTTTATCCTTTTAGAGAGGCTTAAGTCCTTTCTTAGGGAGAAAGAACTAGTTCACTTTCTGTTTCTACAGGAGCACCTCAAGCGATGGGGAAACTTTTTCCCAAAACCTCATTTCATTTTTAGTTTTTTGTCAAAATTTTATACACTTCTTTTGCATTTTGAACTAAAAATCTATCTCAGTGAAGCTTCCACCCACTTTTCTTATCCCATCAATTGCTGCCATATGAGATGAACTGAATCTTTTCCCCGTATGATTGCACTTTAAATATTTAAAGGACTCTTTCATGGCCCCAATATTTTCATCTTCAAACAACACATCTCCTAACCATTCAACATTTCTCAGATTCTTTTACCATGATTACTCTCTTCTGAATGCAGCTCAGTTTGGTCAGATTCAAACTGTAGCTTCTTAAGTTGGAGCTTTTAGAAATCCAATTAGCAGAGTAGAGTGGATATATCACTTCCTTTGTCTAGAATCTATGCTTCCTTTAATTCAGCTAAATATCTTAGTATTTTTCTTGGCAGTCACTAGCTTAGATTAAGTTCATATCTACTAAAACTTCCAAGCATTTTTTTTTAAGTTTTTATTTATTTATTTTAATGGTCTCTACACCCACCATGGGGCTTGAACTCACAATTCAAGAGTCGCATGCTGTTCTGACTGAGTCAGACAGGTGCTCCCCAAGCATTTTTCTGACATACTTCTTCTAGGCTATATTGTTTATATTCTGTACATGCAGTTATTTTTTTCTAGCTTTAAGTACAGGATCTTACATTTAACTCTGTTAAATTTTCAATCGCCCTCCTTTTAAAAAAATCACTCATTCTCAACTTTGTTTGATGAGCATATTTTCATGTCAATGATAGAACTGTTAAAAAGACAAGGCCGGGCGCCTGGGTGGCTCAGTTGGTTAAGCGACTGCCTTCGGCTCAGGTCATGATCCTGGAGTCCCGAGATCGAGTCCCGCATCGGGCTCCCTGCTCAGCAGGGAGTCTGCTTCTCCCTCTGACCTTCCTCCCTCTCATGCTCTCTGTCTCTCATTCTCTCTCTCTCAAATAAATAAATAAAATCTTAAAAAATAAATAAATAAATAATAAAAATAAAAAGACAAGGCCTTCGCTGGCAAACTTTCTTTATTTTGTATTAATCTGCTAACTAGTTACAATAATTTAGCCCATTTGTAGCTAACCTAATTTACAAATAACAATACATATTTTCTTACTTCATTCCATACAAAACCAATGTGATAGGAAAGTGAAGTCAGCCGTGATAGAAAATGCTTTGTGACAGAAAGGTATTTGCTACTTCTGTGGAATTGATTTCTTAGCCACATCTTTAGGCTAAAGATAGCATGTCCCACTGTAATTCTCCACTTTGCTTACTGGGCTTGGCACTGAGTAAGTTTTGGTTATTAAGGAAGATCAAATCCTCTCTTAAAGAACAAAGATTTGGGGCATCTGGGTGGCTCCATCAGTCAAGCATCTGACTCTTGATTTCGGCTCAGGTCATGATCTCACAATTGAGCCATGCACTGGGCTCTGTGCTGGGCATGGAGCCTGCTTAAGATTCTCTCTCTCCCTCTCCCTCAGTGCCCCTCGCCTCTAAAAAAAAAAAAAAAAAAAAGAACAAAGATTTGTCCGGATGAGTTCAAGAGAGGAGTCCTGAATAGGCTTAGGAATAAATACACAGTCTTCCAAATTTATTCCTTTGAAGGAGACAATACTTTTTGGAAGCTCAAGTTTTGCTGTGTTTGTTAAACCATCAGAGTAGTCATATACATTAGGTTTGGCCTGGATCTACCACTTGCCAACTGTTTTATTTTGGGCAAATATATTAATGTTTAGCACAGTGCCTAGCATCTAGTGAGAGCTCTAGAGAGAAGAGTAACTACTATTTATTAAGCAACATTTTATGTTAGGTATTACATAAGGGCCTAGTATACATAAAGTGCTTAACATGCTGTCTCATTGTCTCCTAACAATTCCATCAAGTAGACACTTCTGTAATGCCCAAATCACAGATGAGAAAATTGAGGCACAGAAAGATTATGCAATTTGCTTAAGTTAGAAGTGAAAGAAAGGATATACACCAAGTCTGTTTGACTCCAGACCAGGATCCCAAACATAATTCTATCCTGCCAGTCCCTGAATATAGACAAAACCCTGATAACTTTGGCAGTTTGAGTAGTAAAGATATTGATCACTGGCTAGTCAAGGCGTTTCCAGGAACCACAAAAGGTCCTCCATGGTATGGTCTTATCTTTCATCAGAGTGAGGTTCTGGTCCTTAGCCCTAAAGGCTTAGAAATCCAATCTGTTAACACACAGATCGCAAATTCTTCTCCCAAAGCACTCACGCTCCCAGAGCCTGGTATTCAAATCCAGAACACCAGTGTATTCATAATGAAAATCATGAATATAAATAGAAAGAAATATAATAGCTAAGGGCTAAAACATTCATACCCTGGGGTGCCTGGCTGGCTCAGTCAATAGAGCATGCAACTCTTGATCTTAGGGTAGTGAGTTGAAGCCCCGCGTTAGGATTACTTAAAACATAAAAAATAAAATTAAATAAATAAATAAAAACATTCTTGTCCTGTGACCAACTCTTGGAAATCTGATTCTAAGAGCAGGTTGCTTACGGAACGTGGAACTAGAAATAAGGATGTCTATTTCATGCGTGAATGTTTGATAGAACAAAATCCATCCAACTCCAAAGCAGCAATTTACCTGCTTCCAAAACCGAACAGACCAGTGTAACCTCTCACCTAAAAACACTTGGATAAACACCATCAGGATTTGCCTCATAGATCCTCTTTCTTCCTAAGTTTTCAGGGTCGACCCGTGCTGACTCTATGTTCTTTCTTGAACTGAGGTTAATCTTTTTTTCAGGTTACAGAATACTTCCTTTTTACTAAGATTCTGAACAGCTATACTTAGATGCATTATGCATTGATTTGCAGGTTTAAATCTAACAGGGCAGCTGGACTTCCAGGTTCTTCGGGGGAAGTCTGCTCTCTGAGGCCACAAAGGACTCAGAGCAGCAATAAGAGACAAACCCCTCTGATGGAAGCTGCCTTCTCCTCTATGAACCTTTTGCTGGGGGCACCTGGGTGGCTCAGTTGTTAAGCGTCTGCCCTCGGCTTGGGTCATGATCCCAGGGTCCTGGGATAGAGTCCCGCATGGGGCTCCCTGCTCAGCGGGAAGCCTGCTTCTCCCTCTCCCACTTCCTCTGCTTGTGTTCCCTCTCTCACTGTCTCTGTCAAATAAATAAAATCTTAAAAAAAATAAAAAATATTAAGAAAAAAAAAAAGAAACTTTTGCTGGTTGGCTCTCCAGCTTCAGAAACAGACTGTTGCTAGCAATTTTCACCCACCTACTACAATCTGAAAGGTAACAAACACTGTTTCTGTAGCTACTGAAGGAGACAGGCTGGTTGAAGATTTACATGGCTCTGTTGACTGCCTGGCTATGCCAGCTCTGGGGGAAATCAGTGTACAGGGTGTGAAATGATTTTTTTCTTGGCTCTTTGCTGTAGGTCCAGGCAGCTACGGCAACAGCGGCAGTTGCTCCTCTCGTGCAGAGCCTTCCAGAATGCCTGGGAGTCTCCTGCTGATAACAATATGGAATGGCTGGAACCAAAGAGGTTGGAAGCCCTAGCAGCTACAGCAGCCGAGATTTAAAGCAGGGCAGTTACCCCAGAACCTTTGGGCTCAGGGTACCTTCAGAACCTGCAGGCAAGGAATGGATGCTTCATTGTGTACACTTGCCATGCGACAGCCATGCACAGCAGATCATAAGGAAAGAACAGTGTGGACAACCTCCTCTCGTCTCCTTCTGCAGGTGAGGCGTTTCCGTATTTTCAGACACAAAGCAAAGACAGAGCACCTGGGGGCGGGGGGGGGGAGGGGAGGAAGGGATTTTTCCCAGCATTACTAGGAAGGTACGAGAACTGAAGTCCTTGGCTTTCAGGGCCTACCATTGCCAGTTCCCTTCTACAGGATGGAAAGAATCTCAGGGAGCCCCAGAGTTCCTAGTGCCTGGACACATGACTCCACAGCCTCTCCCTGAAAAGATCTCTAGATGAGGCTGGGAGAGAGGGGGAGGGCTGATCAGGGAAGTCAAGATACAGTTACTAATTCTCTTCACTGAAGGCCAACCGGGAGGCTAGACAATCAAGTCCACTTACTCAAGATACCATGATTTCTTACCATATGCCACCTCTCCCCAACATTCATACATTAAAATGAAGTTCCCATCAGTGTTTAGGGGTTAACTGAGTAGCAAGACTTGGCCCCTTTATGACTCCAGATTCTTGCAACTTTGTTTTCTGAACACTCCTTTCTTGTCTTAATTGGCCCTACCCATTGAGGTAGATTCCACATCTTTCTCCTGTATCTTTGGATTGGCTAAAGCCTCTGACCCTTCCACTGCAGAGTCTAAAAGCAGGGAGATGGCCAAAATAGGCAGTCAGGGAAGAACGCAGGCATTCCTATTGCATCTGCTCAGTCTCTCAGCAATCCTCATGTCAGGGAATCTCTCAAGTTTACAGGCTGGGGCCACAGAGAGTCTCCCCTTCCTCACTCACTGTGTAACGCATGGAGCAAGGTCTCTCAGACGCTATCTGCCGAGTAGTGAAAGTCAGAGATGCTGTTGTTGAATGTGGGTGTTTTCCAGCAGCTCTGTTCTGCATGTAATTCCTCAGAGCTGCTCCCTTGCTCTGCGTTAGCTGGGTTCTCGATGACTCCCAGCATGACTCCCTACCCTTTCTCTTGTTGTCACTGGCTGTCGGGGGAATTGCTGTTCATGGCTTCCACAGGTAACTCCTATTATAATTGTTGTTGTTGTTGTGATTTTTAATACTTACAGAGCTGGCACACACAGCTGAACGACTTCCACAAAGCCAGGCAACAGGTTACCACTTTAGCAAGTCTTGCTCCACTGATCGATTCAAAGGCATCTGTTGAACATTGGCAAGTGCAATGTACCACCTGATGATGTGCAGGGGAGCAAAGATGAATGAGAGAAGGGATTCTCTCCTCAAAAAAGGCCACATTATAACGGAGACATAGGTGCACACAGAAATCACTGTAAAAAAAAGGTCACTGTTACACTCTCCACACCTGGAAAAGTTAAAGGTGAGAATTTTCACCTACCAGGCCACTAGCCATATGCCTATTGATCAGCTGGGGTAGTCTGAGTCTGTTTTGGCCTCAGAAGCCAATGCCAAGATGAACTTTACAGTTGGGCACCATAAAGCAAATATTTTGTAACGCTCTATGGGTATGTAACAGGAGCTCAGCGTGTTAACACTTTCCTTTAAAGGGATCTCTTTTAATTTAATGAAGTGGGTTGACCGCCATTCATTTCCCTTTAATAGCAAGAGAAATAGAAGTTGAACTTCTCTTTCCTGTTCCTCAGGGCAACTAACAAGAGAACAAACAGGGTTCAGTACCAGGAATAAAGTTGACTCATACTCTTAGGCTTTCTCTCCTTTTAGAACACATTGATTGAAGACTTGGAATGGGATAACATTCATTCGCATAGAGAAACAGATGAGGTCGCCAAAGAAGAGAGGGTAGAGAGGGAACAGGGAAAATGAGGTGAAGGAATAGGGACAGTGGCTGTTGCACTACCTTTGACAAAGTCTCTTCATCTCAGAAGAAAAGACTGTTGCAGGAAGATTATATTCTAGGCAGCATGATGAGGATGAGTAGAAATCATATATCGTGGCCCACCATCCTAGGAGAAGAGAGTAAGTCTGTGGCAACATGAATAAATACATTTTTGTGGCCTAGTACCAGCCCAAGGTCCCCAGGTCTACAAAACTTAAAAACAAACCAACAAGAGTAGGGGAACTCGGCTGGTTCAGTCAGTACAGCATGTGACCTGATCTGAGGGTCATGAGTTTGAGTCCCATGTCGGGCACAGAGTTTATGTAGGAAAAAAAAAACACAAAAAGAGTCTAGGCTCTAACATACAGAATTAGTAGCAGAGAGGAGGTGAAGCTTTCCCAAGGCAGGAATCTCAAGGGTGCCACTGAGCAACCTCAGGTCAAGAGGTAAGAATCTAAAACCCAGGAGGTGGCCCACAGTATACAAAAGATTTGTAGGGGACAGAGCTGCCTGGGTGGCTCAGTTGGTTAAGTGTCTCTTTATTTTGGCTCAGGTCATGATCTCAAGGTTGTGAGATGGAGCTATGCATCAGGCTCCATGAGCCTGCTTAAGATTCTCTCTCCCTCTGCCTCTCCCACCCCCCACCCCCATGCTCTCTTTCTCTCTCAAAAAAAAAAAAAAAAAAGATTTGTAGGGGATAAGGACACCATATCTTTTCCATAAATTGAACTTCAAAACAGTGACACAAAAGGAAACAGGACATGAGGAGTTCCTACACTGGGTTCTTGGCTTTCTAGATAGAAGGGGTAGAAATCATACCTCATCTTGCAGTGAATTCTTAGCTATTTTTTTTTCCTGCATCATTGCCTTTGCTATCCCTCCCACTGCTCATTACTGTCACATAGCCTTTAGCTGGTATTTAAATGTTCATGTTTGTTTTTATATATACTATAAACTACTTGAGGGCACTGATCATATCTTTATACCTTCGATGACAACTAGCTCAGTATCTGTTCTCAGTAGGTCATTAAGAAATGTTGTTTGATTTGATGTTATAGGAGAATTAGGGTCAACAGCTGCAAGGGCTGGCAATCCATAGGTTTCTGGCCAAGAATTTCCATGAGGCAAGGCAACATTTGGCAATTACAAGGGCATTCCAGTGAAGTGGAGTGTCAGATTTTGCAATAGTTCTGCAAATAAGATAGATTTTCTGGAGTGGCTGGGTTCGTGGAAAAACATGGGCTGAATGGCAAAAAATAATCTGGGTTCTCACCTTTATAGCAATCATTATAGCAAGATATAATCTCCATTAGATTCAAATAGGAAGGGATGACATTAATAAGTTTTCTTAGCACTACATAGCATTATGCTAGGTATTGTACATGAAGAATATTTTTTTAATGCTATTACTGATCTCACACTTAAAATCCTCAGGGGAATTCATGTACATACCCAAACTAGTCAGAGAACAATATGAGTGTTACAGATTAAACATTATAGCATTGCTGTTGGAGAAGGTGTCCTAAAAAAGGTAGTCTTGAGATGGGTCTTGGAAGTCCCCTAATTTTTGTTGGTTTTTGCTCCTTTGTGGCTTTCACAAAGCTCTCTATCCTGTGGACATCTGAAACATAAAAAAGTTTATTGCTTAACCACCCTCCTCCATCCCCCGCTACCAACTCTACCTTATCCCCACCTATTAGTATTCCAAGATAGCATTTCATATAGCTGGTGTAATAATGTGTTTCGTTCATATCCTCTATCTAGCCTTTGAGCTTGATAATCTATAACCCTAACCTCTAGATTAAGCTTTGCTCCAATTCAAGCATCCCAATTCTTCTTGCTAGAAGAACATGAAGAGAATGGGTCATTAGTTCAAAGAGTCAGTCTCAAAGGTAATTGGGCTTTGGGGCGGTTTCTGCCTTTTATCTCTATTCCTCAGTACTAGAATTCTTGCTGGTAACTTTCCCTCCCCAAAATAGAGTTACAGCCCCCCAAACTATCTCCTTGTCACTGGGGCATCTGGTTTCTACGACCATGTTTTTTGGATGCACTGTCACCTGAATCTGTATAAATTGCCTAGTGCCTGTTTAAATCCACATCCTGGATCTCAGATTCATTTTGGACTTTTTACCATTGATTAAAAACTTTCTGCATGGTCCTCGGGGGCTAGTTTTGACACCAGTCACAGAGAAGATGGTACACTGGTAGCCCAGGGGTCTCTTATTTCAAATATTCCTGGGCTACAAGGCAAGAATAAGTGAGAGGCTACAGCTCTGTAATGGGCTCTTGGTCACCAACTTAGTTTATGATCCAAACAATAGCCTGAGAAGATTTCTGCTTTAAAGTATGAGGCAATGAAAAGGGTATTTTATTAATACAGCATAAAATGGATTAGATAGCAAGGTGACCATCAAGACACCATATGCCTTAACATCTACATCAGATGGAATGAGATAATGTATGCAAAGCACCCAGCACAGTCCCTGGCACTCCCTCCCTTGCATGTGGATTTCTGTTTACAATGTGCTTTTGTTTATATTAAATCTCCCCTAAAACCTTGTGAATTAGTTACTGCCCCCAGAGCAGTACCTTGACCGTAAAAGTGGCACATCTGAAAAATTGCACGGCTGAGAGTCAGACTCAGGTCTTCAGACCCCAAAGCTAGTTCTGTTTGCCCTGCACCCCAGACTCTTCTTACTGCGTTGTGCTAGACTGAAGATTGTGAAGGCCTGGATCAGAGTGCTAACAATGAGATGGAGATCAAAGAATGACCTGTGAGCTCCTGCATAGCTGATATCAGACATATAGATATGATATAAAGATATATCTTTCTTTGTAAAAAGAAATAAAAACAAGTCCAATACTTTTTTTTTTCCCCAAGATTTTATTTATTTATTTGACAGAGAGAGACACAGTGAGAGAGGGAACACAAGCACGGGGGGGTGGGAGAGGGAGAAGCAGGCTTCCCGCGGAGCAGGGAGCCCGATGCGGGGCTCGATTCCAGGACCCTGGGACCACGACCTGAGCCGAAGGCAGACGCTTAACGGCTGAGCCACCCAGGCGTCCCTCCAATACTTTATTTTACCTATTCCAAGATACATATATTTTCACTTCTTAACATCTCTGAAATTGAAGCAATTGACATTTTTCAGCTGTTTCCACTGCTTAATACTTGTGATGTCATTGCTGTTCTCTGCTTACCTACAAACTTGGTTGCTACTCCTGGTTGAATGACTGGACAACTGAAACCCAAGGACATTTCAGTCAGCCAATCACTTAAGCAACATTTGCACAAGACATATGAATCGTAAGTGTTGTCTGAAAACCTTCCATTGACACCTTTCCATGAGAACAAGAAAGTGTCGACATAAAAATTTGTAGAATCGATGTCAGAAGGTTGGAAGAAAATCTTAGGAAAAAAATGAAGCCCTGCCTCGGCACTGCTGCATGGCCACTGATTTTATGTTAATTTTATTTTATTTATATATTTATGTATGTATTTATTTAGAGCATGAGTGGGGGCAGGGCAGAGGGAGAGAATCTCAAGCAGACTCTGCGCTGAGCGCAGAGCCCCCCCCCCCCCCCCCCCCGGGGCCAAATCTCACCACCCTGAGATCATGACCTGAGCCGGAACCAAGAGTCAGACACTTAACTGACTGAGCCACTCAAATGCCCCTGCCACTGCTTTTGATGGCACAGAGGGTAATACTGTATCGAGAAACACAGTTCATCAGTTTTTCAGAGTTGAAAAGTGATTCAGAAGACAGACTGAATATGAAGACATTTTGGACTACCTTAACTGAATCATTTCCCTTTCATGCAAAGCTTTTATATATGATAAAAAAGAAAAGCAATGTTTAAATAAACCAAAATTGGGGCACCCGGGTGGCTCAGTTGTTAAGCGTCTGCCTTCGGCTCAGGTCATGATCCCAGGGTCCTGGGATCGAGCCCCGCATCGGGCTCCCTGCTCAGTGGGAAGCCTGCTTCTCCCTCTCCCACTCCCCCTGCTTGTGTTCTCTCTCTCATTGTGTCTCTCTCTGTCAAATAAATAAATAAAATCTAAAAAAAAAAAAATCAGTGTGGATTATTGCTTCTTGAAAATTCAAATAGTTATCCCCTTTAATCTATGCTTTTCAAATAGTATTTGTACTGTTAGAGATAAGCTGCAGTGTGCCAAGAGATAAATCTGTGGTCACATAACATGGCACTCACTTAAGGAGTGGTTATCAATTTCACTTGAAAACTTGGATAAAAAAATACTGTTTTTATATTAGAGCACCAAACGATGACATGGAGAATGTAATCACACTAATTTCTAAGATAAAATTCAAAGACTTCAAAGAAATTTCATACTTAAGGGCTCCTGGGGACATGTTCAGTTTTTTCTGCCCTTATAGAGAAAAATTTAAGAAGCATTGCCGGGGCGCCTGGGTGGCTCAGTCGTTGGGCGTCTGCCTTCGGCTCAGGTCATGATCCCAGTGTCCTGGGATCGAGTCCCGCATCGGGCTCCCTGCTCAGCGGGAAGCCTGCTTCTCCCTCTCCCACTCCCCCTGCTTGTGTTGTGTCTCTCTCTGTCAAATAAATAAATAAAATCTTTAATAAATAAATAAATAAATAAATAAAGCAAAATAAGCCCTTTAATGAGGGCTGAGTGTTAGGAAAGTATTGTGCCATAGATTAACTTGTACCCTTATTTTCTTTCTCAGTGGAATATAAAATAATGGTGTACCCTACAATCTGTGGTGTCTTAGATTCAATGAGAATGGTCATATTATATTTGTATAAGCGCTTCATGGTTTATATATTAACTCATTTTCATCATCATAATAACCTTATAATATCAGGAGCAGAATATTAGCCCCAGTTTTATCTATGGGAAAAATAAGGCAGATGAAATAAGCTACTCAAACAGCTATAGCATCAGGATAAGGATTCATCCTAATTCAGTCCTCTAGAATAAGCCTAAACTCCATTTTTCCCCTCTAAAATTACAAGGCTGATCTCCATCTTAGTGCTACCGTTATAAAAAAAAAGCAGCTTTGATGAGAATGGACACAGTAGTTCAGGATAAACACTGAATATGTCTCCCTTTTGGCAAGGAAAGTGAATTGTCAGGGTTTTAACAATAATAAATCACTATTACAAACAGCCTACAAATATAAAAGATGTTAAACAAATAATACATGTTGTATTAGTCAGGATGCGTTAATGCTGGCTGTCCCAGAAGTCAAACCCTGAATCCTTAGTAGCTTAACCAACAAAAGTTTCTATCTCACGCATGTCACATATCTAGCACAGGGTGACAGGTGGTGAAGGTCGTGTGTCGTTCCACCCCTTCACTCAGTAGCCAACAGGACTCGGGTTCTCCCATCTTATAGCTGTACCATGTGCAATATGTAACCTGCAAGCTTGCTGTGACAGGGTAAAAAGGGTTAGGGGAGGCTTACCAGCTTATAACTTGTTCAGTCTGAAAGTGGTGCCTGCAAATGATACAAGTCACTTCTTTTACAGGCCATTAGCCAGAAGTAATCACAGGACCCCAACCTACCTGAAGGGAGGCTGGGAAATGCAGAGCAGCAATGGAATATTTGGTGAGTACTGTCCATACCACAGTAGTCCTATAATTATTTCCTTGAGGGCAAGAATCTGTTTTATGTACTGATACCCCCTAATATCTAGAATCGTGTCTGGCTTACAGTGTTCACTAACAATTACTGAACAAATAAATCAGTGAATTAATAAATGGCATCTGAAGCTGTTTTTCCTCATTTCCACTATGAATCTGAAAGGTTTTCAAAAAGAATTAAAGTATTCAAGTTCAGGTTAACATTTCAGAAACACCTAGTGTTGACAAGACAACGTTTTGATAAGAATTTATTTGAAGTTGGCAAACTCATTCTCAAATGTAATTACAAATTACATGAAACCTTTTCTATGGGAGCTTAGTGATTCTTTAAATTGACTAAAATATAAGGAAATACAACACTCGACTCTAAAAGCCAGTTTGGATGGTTGGTTTCATTTTAAAAAATGAACACAGACTGCAATCTTCCTAGAAATGATCGCTTAGGGAGTTGGGAACAATTTGCCATGATGATAAGAACTTAGATTGTGGTGATATGAGAAGGCAAGCAGCAGTCAGGCATGGGGAAAGCATAATAAGTAGTCGTCCTTTTGGCTCTAATTCAACACCTGTTCTTAACATTACCTGCATGATAGGAGGGCACAGAAAGTTCAATATTTGGTTTTCACAAAGGAATTTCAAAGTGATTATAAGATGTAATTCATCATTTATTCAACAAATGTTTATTAAGCACCAAATATGTGCACACACAATGCTTGGTGCTGGAGATTCAGGTGCAAAAGACAGAGTCCTACCTCAGTGGAACTTAGAGTCTAATAGGGAAGCTAGACACTGAACTATATAATAAGCATGACATAGGTTGTGAAAGGGGAAGTAACAGGTACTATGGACTGAACGGGGAAACTTCTTGGTTTTCAGCAGTAAGAAAGTAGGGTCAGGGAAGATCTCAAGAAACTGATGTTTGCGGGCGCCTGAGTGGCTCAGTCGGTTGAACGTCTGCCTTCGGCTCGGGTCATGATCCCGGGGTCCTGGGATCGAACCCCACATCGGGCTCCCTGCTCCGCGGGGAGCCTGCTTCTCCCTCTCCCTCTGCCTGCCACTCCCCCTGCTTGTGCTCTCTATCAAATAAATAAAATCTTTAAAAATAAATAATTAAAAAAAGAAACTGATGTTTGAATTTAAATGCTGGGGATAAGGAGGATTTGGCATGGAAAAGCAAGGGAAAGAATTCCAGATGGAGGGAATAGCTTGTCTTCACAACCCCACTAGGAAATCTCAATAGGATTACATGCTTAATCATATAGGTGGAGAAGTGGTAGAAGAAAGTGACTTGTTCAAAGAATGATGTTTAACAAATAGCTTAATTTGGACCCTAAGCCATATTCTTTTCTTTACAGAGCATGGCACACAATTGTCTAAGGCAGATTCTTTCCTGACCCAAACATAGCTGAGCCCACTCCCATAGCCCATCAGGTACAGCAATCAGCCATGAACCAGACTGATGTAACAGATATAAATTTTCAGCCTGTTTCACAGCACGCAGGATAAGAACTAGAGTGCCCTAAATGGCTTTCACGCAGGAAGAGGGTGGGGTGTAGTGGCAGAGGGGGAAGCTTCCTCAGTGAGAGCCAAGCGCTAAAAGCAGCTGCGTGTGACATTTCCATCAACAGCCCTCCCTCCCTCGTTGTGTATGAGACACAAATCAGATGTTCTGGTTTATGATTTCAGCTTCAGAGTACATACCCTTCGAGGTCCAAGCTCATGTATCTCTTCCTGGCATGATGCCTGCTCATTAACTGGACTCGAAAGTTCATCTGAGATGGATAACCAAAGGCTGAGAATATTGAGATCCCTTTCTCCTACTCTTAAGGAGGCCTGGAATCTCATGGTGCCCAGCCTCTCTACTTGCTAGAGAGTGACAAAGCACAGGCTACCAAAAAGATTCTGTCCAGATGCCAGGACCATATCAGAACACAAGGTCACTTATAGCTGCCTCTTCTCCCGCTTATATCAGCCCAGAGGACAATCCATTCTCCTTCCTTTGGAGGACACAGTAAAGGCTAACTCCTGGAAGTACCAGGTAAGTGCCACTTTATCCATTAGGTAGATCAGAACAGCTAATCAGTCTCTGTCTTTCATTTTGTGTTTACCTCCCCAGGTAAAATGAGGTAGAAAAATCTGTTATTTACAGGAAAGCTCTTATAGGTCTTTGATTCTTTGATTCAAGAGCACAGATCCTGAAGTGACTGAGATGTCAGCAAATGGTATGTTTGCATACCAATTAATCTCCAAAAATTTAAAAGTTCCTGATATTCTGATCATTTAAAAATGTATTACTTTAGGGCGCCTGGGTGGCTCAGCCGTTAAGCGTCTGCCTTCGGCTCAGGTCATGATCCCAGGGTGCTGGGATCGAGTCCCACATCGGGCTCCCTGCTCGGCAGGAAGCCTGCTTCTCCCTCTCCCACTCCCCCTGCTTGTGTTCCTGCTCTCGCTATCTCTCTCTCTGTCAAATAAATAAATAAAAATCTAAAAAAAAAAAAAAGTTTACTTTAGAGATTTCTGTTAAGTGTTGGTGTTGAAATCTGTTACTTATTCTAAAAATGCTGGGTCATATAATCTCTCAGATTACTTTCCCAAATATCTCATGCAACTAGGAAAACCACTGTAAAATAAATGTCAGAGGGTTTTCTTTTTAAAGAACAAAATTACAATAATATAATATATGTTAAGAAAAAAAAAAAGAAGAAGAAGAAGGTAGCGGGAGGGGAAGAATGAAGCGGGGGAAATCGGAGGGGTAGACGAACCATGAGAGACGATAGACTCTGAAAAACAAACTGAGGGTTCTAGAGGGGAGGGGGGTTGGAGGATGGGTTAGCCTGGTGGTGGGTATTGAGGAGGGCACATTCTGCATGGAGCACTGGGTGTTATGCACAAACAATGAATCATGGAACACTTCATCTAGAACTAATGATGTAATGTATGGGGATTAACATAAGAATTAAAAAAATTAAAAAAAAATAAATAAAATAAAGAACAAAATTACAATAATAACAATAATTTGTTCTAATCTAAATGACAGCAGTCTCTGAGCACTGCGGCTGCTTGTTTTATCACTGGGTGGCCACATTTACATGACTTTTTGTCAGAAATCTTTTCATAACCAGACATTAGGCCCAATTTGGGGTGATTTGAAAGACAGGTTGGCTTGGGAAGAAGCATGCTAAAGTTAGTAGTGAGGTTTTATCAGGGTTCCTTAGTCCACATTATTCCTCAACTGCCAAGTACAAATCTGAAGTAATAATAAACAATTTCTTACTTTAGGGCAAAGTAACTCCTGGGAAATTCATTCATTTAGTCTATATTCAAAGAAAATCTATATTCATTCTACTGAATCAGACTTGATTGCTGCCTTATAATATGTAATTTAGTGGGAGACTATTATACACTAGACTGTATGCTCCAAGGTCAGGTTTGGGGTCTGTTTCAAGTACCACTTTATACCCAAGTATAGCAGTGTCTGTCTCATGATAGGTACTCAATAAATATTGGTTGGATGTATAAATGTATGAACAGATATGTACATGATGTTCCTTTTCGAATATGTGTGTACTACATTCTTTGACAAACACATTGTTTGTTGATTACAGTTGCATAAACATTTCAGTATCAGCCATTGATAACTCAGATTTTAGTAGGTCCTGTGGAAACAGTTGATTTTTACTTTTTTTTTTTTAAAGATTTTATTTATTTATTTGAGAGAGAGAGAATGAGAGAGAGCATGAGAGGGAAGAGGGTCAGAGGGAGAAGCAGACTCCCCGCCGAGCAGGGAGCCTGACGTGGGACTCGATCCCGGGACTCCAGGACCATGACCTGAGCCGAAGGCAGTCGCTTAACCAACTGAGCCACTCAGGCGCCCTTTAATTTTTACTTCTTGTAATCAGTCTGTGGCCTTGAGGTTAATAACACTGGCTGGGAGAAAGGAAGAATGTAAGAAAGAGGGATATTTAAGTCACCATCCTGAAGTTGTATTTAGAGGTTTTACTTCAAATGGGCTATTCTGAAGACAAGTACAAAGTATGTGTGTATTCTTTTTTTCTTGGCAAATGCTAATTCAAAAATAGGAAGCAAAGCTATGTTACCACGTTATTTGAGATATCCTTTATCCTAAATTTTTTTCTCCTTATCCTAAAGTTTTTCCATTTCTTTTTTCAAACTTTTAGTTGCCAATTATGGCATTATAATACATAAGTAGAAAGGAAGAAAGATATGATAAGGATCTTAGGAATAAGAAAATCCAAGTATTATTTGGATTCTAAACACTGTCTTTGTGGCCTTGGTTACGTTTGGACTTAACTTTTTCATCTGTAAAATAGAGGGAGTTGAGTTAAATTATTTCTAAAACATCCTCCAGTTTGAATTTTCTGTGATTTCATCTGACAAGCAAACTCTCCCCTTTGCCATCCTTGTTGTATACGGAATGCTCAATTTTTTCCAGTTTTTTTTTTAAATCACTTACCACAGATGCTTAAAATAAAAAGCTCTCTATATAGAATGCCTGCCCTTTTTTTCCTCCAAGTAGTCATGGCACCACTTAAAAATTATAAAATATATCTAAATAAAGATATAAAGAAAATAAATACCACTCTACAACCCCACTATTGAGTTATAATCTTCTATTACTTCAGTGCCCATATTTTTATGCATATTTATTTAAAAAATAAAATTGTGATCACGTTGTACTTAGTGTTTTGAAACCTGAATTCTTTACCTAATAATACACCATAAAGATTTCCTCACATTCTTTTTTTTTTTTTTTAAAGATTTTATTTATTTATTCATGAGAGACAGAGAGAGAGAGAAGCAGAGGGAGAAGCAGGCTCCCAAGGAGCAGGGAGCCCGATGTGGGACTCGATCCCAGGACTCCGGGATCATGACCTGAGCCGAAGGCAGACGCCCGTCTGAGCCACCCAGGCGCCCCTCCTCACATTCTTCTAAAGCATAATACTTTTTCATGCTGCATTTGCAATCCACTATTAAATACTACAATTTAACTCATCTATTGTTAGACATCTAGGTTATTTATAATCTGTGTGATAAATAATATTGTAGTGAACAAATTTTTACAAGGGTAAGTGGTTATTTCCTAAGAACAATTTTTTATAACTAGAGATATTCCTCCTAGTAATTTATGCGTGCTCCAGATACCCTGGAGGTTATAAAACAGGTTTTATAATTTACAGAAAAACCCTTGAGGTCGTAGGCTTTACAATTCAATATCCATATCTGATTGTCAATATCCATATTTGATTATTACTGAATATTTTTGTTTTGTTTTGGTCATTTGCATTTCTTTTTTTTTTTTTTGGTTGTCTACTCCATTTCTTTGTTCATTTTTCTACTTGTTCACTTTTTTTTTTTGAAGACACCTCAAATTCCTCATTATTTTTTATGTTGCCCTGCAGATTCAGGGAGATTCAAAGTTGTTTTTGTTTCTGTTTTTTTTTAAGATTTTATTCATTTATTTGACAGAAAGAGACACAGCGAGAGAGGGAACACAAGCAGGGGGAGTGGGAGAGGGAGAAGCAGGCTCCCGGCAGAGCAGGGAGCCCGATGTGAGAGGCTCGATCCCAGGACCCTGGGATCATGACCTGAGCCGAAGCCAGATGCCCAACGACCGAGCCACCCAGGCGCCCCTCAAAGTTGTTTTTGGAGATAATAATCGCCCTAATTATGGTCCCAGACCAAAACTTCAATTCATATCTTTTTTTTTTTTTTTTTTTTACCGTTTTCCTCTGGCCTATGCACAAATCACTTTATGATTTCATTTTGCTTTTTAAATCTCAAGCCTATCAGTCATTTTAGGGCTCTATTCTGGAGCACCTTTTCCAACAACATTTTAATAATGAAGTATTTTGAATAAAATACTAAGACTTCATTAATTTTATGCATTGAACATTAATAAATCTTAAACACTGGTAGGCCAATATTGGATAAACTGGCAGAAAGTTAGTGCATTGCAGGTATTTTATTTTATTTTATTTATTTTAAAGATTTTATTTATTTATTTGACAGAGAGAGACACAGCGAGAGAGGGAACACAAGCAGGGGGAGTGGGAGAGGGAGAAGCAGGCTCCCGGCCGAGCAGGGAGCCCAATGCGGGGCTCGATCCCAGGACCCTGGGATCATGACCTGAGCCAAAGGCAGATGCTTATTGACTGAGCCACCCAGGCGACCCTGCAGGTATTTGATTTTAAATGTACAACATATTACAAAATATGTATCAAAATTATGGCAGCAAAAGATTTAAATTCAGGTATGTACTTATAATTCATCACATTCTGTGGGGGGACTAGCTAGGTAAATAAACAGGCAAACACCTTGGAAGTGGCTACCTTCACCAGAACTTTAAAAAAAAAACACAAAACAGTAGCCTTCAGTGACCTTAACAAATGTGGTGCTCTTTAAAGCCTTTAGAAGAAATACTAAGCTAGAGACACTGGAAAGACACAGAAACCCCTTGCTGGGCTCTGACTTACTGGCTGAGCAGGTTATTGTTGATAGTTGATCATTCAAAAGAACAAATTATAACTCACTGCCCATGTACAGAATAACAAAGCACATCTTCACATAACTTACTGTCCCTTTACCTTTTTCTGAGCCTGTTATCTATTCTTTTCTCAATATATATCATTCTTTTTAAATTTCTGTTTTGGGTTGTTTCATGTGTATAACTGTTTTTAGAATTTGTTTTTTTAGAAAAGACAAAGCTTTGTGATAACTTTTTGATTTGTTATAAACACTGTCCTTATTGACTTTAAGGATATCACTTTAAGGTCTTCTGGGGCATCCTGTTTTTTAACAATTTAATATTGAAATGTCTTGGTTATGATACTGAAATTTTTTTTTTTTTTTTAAGATTTTATTTATTTATTCATGAGCGAGAGAGAGGCAGAGGGAGAAGCAGGCTCCCAAGAAGCAGAGAGCCTGATGCGGGACTCGATCCCAAGACCCTGGGATCATGACCTGAGCTGAAGGCAGACGCTTAACCATCTGAGCCACACAGGCGCCCTATGATACTGAAATTAATCTAATGTACCAAAAGAACAATAACGCTTAGAACCTGTTAAGTGAAAAAAGAGGGACAGGAAAAAAAAAAAAAAGAAAAAAGAGGGACAGAATAGTATATGCCGTATACCATTACATATTTAAAAAGTGTGTATTTTTATATATGTAGAATATATGCAGGATACAAAATAACAAAATGTTACTATTATTATTGGCTTACTCTGAGGAGGTGTGATGAATGACTGGGTAACAGGGGTGCAAGATTTCCTTTTCACTGTATATTCCTTGAACCTTAAAAATTTTGTTCCATGTACAGGAATTAACAATCTAAAAATAGAATTTAGTTATCAAAATCTTATTACATATAGTAGGCATTCATAAACATGGAATGAAAGAATAAATGAATTAAGTAAAATGAATCAATGTCTTAAACTTACACTAAAGCCTTGTGGTGTTATGTGCCCAGACTGCAGCAAACTTTAAGGCTGTAAATGGTCAATATCTGTAAATCTTCAGAAATGGCAGAATTGTGACATTGCCAAGAAAAGAGCTTTGGTTGATAGAACAGCATTTTTATAAGTGGTTCTAGGCTAGTCCTTTAAAAATTCCTAAGTAATAAAGCCAGATTATCCTCCATCCCCCAAATCTGTGAAAGAATTACCACTCATTGGCAAAAACACCTCTTATGGTCTAGAAGAAAATGCAGTAACTCTATTTTTAATAAGTCAGGTCCCAAGCTTGTCTAGTGGCAGTTTTATCAACCTTTCACTCACTGCTTAACAGTGAAATTTCATAATTGCATGAGACTAAATGGCTATTTATTTATTTTGGAGGGGGGAGAAGGGGAAGATAGAGAGGGAGAATCTTAAGCAGGCTCCACGCCCAGTACAGAGCCTGACACAGGGGCCGATCGCATGACCCCCAAGACCATGACCTGAGCCAAAAATCAAGAGTTGGAGGCTTAACAGACTGAGCCACCCAGGTACCCTTACTAAATGGCTTTTTATTTTTATTTATTTATTTATTTATTTATTTATTTATTTATTTATTAGAGAGAGAGGGGGAGAGAGAAAGAGCAGGGGGAGGGAGAAGCAGACTCCCCACTTAGCAGGGAGCCCAAAGTGGGCCTAGATCCCAGGACACTGGGATCATGATCTGAGCCAAAGGCAGATGGTCAGCCAACTGAGCCACCCAGGTGCCCCTAAATGGCTTTTAAAAACAGAAATTTTGGGGGGGAAAAAACTATTGTTACTTTGTTATATTTCTAAATGGAACAATCCATTACTCTTTATTACAAGGAAGTTTCATATACAGATGGTCCCCAACTTAGGATGGTTCGACTTACACTTTTTTGACTTTACATGGTGTAAAAGCGATACATTCAGTAGAAACAATACTTTGAATTTTGATCTTTTCCACGACTAGTGATATGTATGCAGTATGATCCTTTCTCATGATGCTGTGCAGGGACAGTGAGCTGCAGCTTCATCAGCCATGTGATCACGAGGGTAAACAACCCCTACACTTAAAATCATTCTGTACCTGCAGTCTATTTCTCACTTTCAGTATTCAATTAACTGCATGAGATATGCAACATTTTATTATAAAATAGACTTGTGCTAGATGATTTTGTCCAACTGTAGGCTAAGATAAGCGTTCTGAGCCCGTTTAAGGTAGGTTAGAGGTATTAAATGCATTTTTTATTTACAATATTTTCAACTTACAATAGGTTTATTGGCATGTAACCTCATCATAAGTCCAGGAAGATCTGTATCTCCCTACATTTGCTGAGGAAGCTGGTCCTGATATTTTTCTGAAAAATAATAAAAGGTAGGAAAGACTTCAAATGAATTATGTTTATTGTATCTCTTAACTTCAGTGAAGGTAATCAAGAGTTTACACTAAGTACAAAGTTACTTTGGCTTTGTTTATTGCCTTATGTGCTAAGATAAGCAGACCAGCAACCTACTGTGTATTTAGGTCAAACCTTACGGACAAGCATGGATCTAAAAAGTGACAGTTTCTTGGAATCAAAATGAAAATGGGATGACAGTGGAATTCTAGCTATTCTTGTTGGGGAGATGAAGGCTGAATTGTGGAATTCACTATAGCACACAGATTCTTAAAGAGTTTTGCCAAAAAAATAAAGACAACTGGATAAAAGTGGTTTTACATTGAGCAACTCTATGTAAAATGCTTACAACAGTGTCTGGCACCACAGATTGGCTTTGTAAATGTTAACTGCTATTTATCATCATCATTATTATAATGACACTTACCACTTCAAAATAGTCAAAAGGTTTTATTAGCCATGCTGCACCTTTATATAAAGCAATCTGTAGGATACCAAGAGAAGAAACAGTTCCTGTTTGTAAGAAGTTTATAGTGATACATTTTGAAGGAATAGGAAGTTAAATTGCTAAAGAAAAAAATGTTTAGTTTCTTTGAGACAGCATCTTTTGCTAGTTTAGCTGGAGTCCTGCATCAAAGGCTGAGAAAAGTTCATAGCTCCTTCTTTCCCAAACAAGTTAAAAACAGAGATCACTAATATTTGAAATAAACAGAAACAAATTACAGTAGTAATTTATTGCTTTTCAACAATTCCAGTGTCATAAAATCTATCTAAACCAAACTCCATATAGGTCTTGAATACAAGAATCAAAATTCTCAGGGAAGTAAGGCACTTAAAGTGGGAGTCTATAATCTTTTTTTTTTTTTTCCCCCTGACAAGGGTAGAATGCCGAGAGGAAAAGGCCAGGAGGAAAACTGCCTAGAGACCTGGGTACATGGAACTGTCCTTAGTCTTCATGTATGTATACTTCCATTTTTGAACACCTTTATTTTTGAATACCTTCCAGTCTATGAAAAGAAAGGGGAAGAAAAAAACAAAAAAGAAAAGAAAAGGAAGAAGAATAAAAGGAACTGTACTACAGCTGTACTGGATAATCGAAAGGTAGGAAATGTTCTTCAGTGAGTTAAAACTGTCTTGCAATCTCTCTGAAAAGGAGCAGGCAAAAATCTTTTTGAAAAGAAAGCCTTAATTTCTAGTAGAGACTGTCCTGGAAAGGTTAACTTCCCAAATTGACAGGAAGGCGCACCAAACCCTAACACATAATTTAAACTTCCCTCCGACATATAGTAGAAAATCTATCCTTGAGGCATTAGGCCTTTCTTATTTACCTTAAAATATACCCTGTCCCTCACACACCCCAGCTTTCTCTTCTCAGGTGGAAATTAAGGAGAAATTTAATTTGCTTTGCTAACCTGAGGAGAAGTTTTCTACATGGAGAATGTATAAATTAGATCACAACATGTTTATACAGCTATCCGATACTGTTAAGATAATTCCTGAATTCTGCAGCTTTTGTGTTAATAGTGGACAATACATGAGGGCTTTGGAATACTTGAATTTTAAAATATAAAGACTGCATACATGTTTGCCTGAGGTCCTTAATACTTGAGAGGATCCACTAAGAGCCCTTCCCACAGATTGGTAAGACTTATGAATATGTTTAAAAAAATTAAAAGAGATCTAGGTCTTCCAGAGGAGATAGAGCAAGACGTGGAGTTCAATTCTCAAACCAATGCTTTTCCCAAAATAATCATGTACCCTCATAAAGGAAATAGGAAATGAAACATTACATTCAATTTGGATGAGGAGGTGGCCTTCCTAAGCAATTTATTCAAGTATAAACAATAATTATGTAGAAAGAATCTGGTTATAAATATAATTATGAAACCTTATTAATTCACATTAATCAGTGGGGAATATAAATTGCATTATGAAGAGGTTTGAATTATATAATAGAATTACTAAAACTACTCCCTTGTTAGTCTATCTGCCTCTCTTTCATCTCCAGGTTGTCCTGTACACAGCTTACTAGGTAGAAAGAAGAAGTGTTTTCTATGAAGAAGAAACAGTATGTACAAAGGCTGAATGGTCAGGGTTAGGAATTTGAAACAACCCCGCATATTCTGCCTCTTTATTATCCTCCTCATCACTATCCTTCCCTATGACCTGAGGATTTTGAACAAAATAAAATGAAAATAGCCTAGCCTTTAGCACAGACTGAGTTAAGCAGGCCTAGGTTTAAATCTCAGCTTTAAAGGACTTATAAGCTAAAAATAGCTTAGCGACATATCTGTAAGTTTGGGGAGATGGGATGGGGTTTCCCTAGGTTCTTGGTAGAAAAACCTTTGTTTAGGTGCATGGTTGCAGTGATGAAGAGTTCTCCCCAATAACTCTTGGAATCCATCTCTCTCTCATTCCACTGGATTCTGTAAGTGGGCTTGGTTGCCAACACAGCCTGAATCATGTACTCCCATGTTATGGTTGAAGCACAGAGTTGGTCAAAGGAATGACTAGTGGACCACAGGGGTTATACAAGATGGAGTTAGAAAGCTTCCAGATTGGGGCGCCTGGGTGGCTCAGTTGGTTAAGTGACTGCCTTCAGCTCAGGTCATGATCCCGGAGTCCTGGGATCGAGCCCTGCATTGGGCTCCTTGCTCAGGGGAAAGCCTGCTTCTCCCTCTCCCTGCTACTCCGCCTGCTTGTGCTCTCTCTGTCAAATAAATAAATAAAAAATCTTAAAAAAAAAAAAGTCTTCCAGATTAACTTTTCATTGGAAACAGGAGCAAAACCCCCTGTTTTTCTAGCCTGTCTGGGCCTGATAGAACATGAGATGAAGGCAGTGTATGTAGTTCTCTACTTGGATGGCTACCCTGATGAGTGTTACCTGTTTGCAATTTATGTCTTTGTGCCTCTCACTAACTTCCTGTGGCATTTAACTTTTCGATTCTGGTTCCCACTGATGTGGCTAAGGCGAGTATACATAAGACGACATAATGAGGTGTGTGTGCATGGTGGGGATGAGGGAGTGGTAAAAACGATGACTGCCTCAGAATAGTGTATTCTGAGCTTGGTGAGATTTACTCTACTTCTGGCCCTGAGGTACTAAGTAGACTAGCAGTCCTGGAGGTTGGTAGCATAGTACAAAGGGTATTCCCCTACTACAAGATTTTCCAGTTTCTTTCCTGCTACCAGATTGGAGGTGGTAAACAGGGGAGGGTATATTTGTAAACCTAGAAGATTTAAAGAGGGCCCTGCCAAAGCAGGATAGAGTTAAAGCCCTCAGTCTGAGACCATGAGTTTGAAGACACGAGAGAGAAAAGAACTTGTCTATAAGCAGTTAGCTTGGAATCTGAAGCTGAAGGCTGTCCATTTCAAAGGATGTAGTGGGCCGTTTCAGTCACTGTGGCCATGATGACCAAAATGGAACCATGGGCCTGAGATGAGAAAATTGTGGAAATTGTCAGGAAGTCCACTGGGTCTCTTAAATGTGAATCCTGATCTGCCAAAGGTGACATTAAAAGGAGAATCTCCATAGAGGGAGGAGACTGCCAAATGTTGCTACTAAGACTCCTGTTCTGACATTAAACTTCCCTTGGGCATGTTACATAAATTATCACCAACACCATGAAGAAGACTGGGGGTGGGTAGCACTTCCCTTTCGGCCTGCCCTTTTTTTTTTTTTTTTTAAAGATTTTATTATTTTAAGAGAGAGAGAATGGGTGCCCGAGATGGGGGGGAGGGACAAAGGGAGAGAATCTTCAAGCAGACTCCACGCTCAGTGCTGAGGCCCACGTAGGGCTGGATCTCACAACCCTGAGATCATGACCTGAGATGAAATCAAGAGTCAGATGCCTAACCAACTGAGCCACCCAGGTACCCTCCCTTTTTGCCTGCTTCTTGAATAGCGCAGCAGAGCCCAAGCTGGAACAAACTAGGTGCTGCAATATATATTTTCTCCCCCTCCCTAACTGCCTGTCTCTTCCTCATTCTCTAACCCCCCCACAATTTTCTGTCACTGTTGTTTTCCCCTTTATGCTGATTAAAAATAAAGTATTAGGAGTTTAAAGAATTCTATTTTCTTTTGCATTACTGAATAATGTATGATGTAGAAATGTCAAGCAAACATGTACTGTAGTTAGTGCTATAAAGGGAAGGGCTTCATGAAGCACATTTGAAACATCTGAACTCTGAGGCCTAGAAGGGTATTTTCACATACTGCTCCACTCCCTATTATCTTATACCGGGCTGATTAACTTTTCCTAGTCCTTGAAGACTTCCCAGTTTGAACCTGTGATTCAGATTAAACTTGACTAAAATTCAGGGATAAGCGAATAATGCACCAAAAAACAGACTTACAAAACATGAGTATTTACCTTCCCTCTTGGGTCTCTAGGAAAGCCTCTTGGCCTGCCTCCTACTAGGCAACTCTGTGGCAAAGGCCATTTCCCTCATATCAGTAAGGAGGGCCCTCAACATTTTTTAACTCCTCTGAGTTCACACCCTGAAAAGGTAAATCCACAAGTGCCCCTTCTACCTGTTCTATGTTCCAAGTTTTTTTGTGTGTGTGTGAGGACCTTCTTCCTCTATGATTGGTTGATAATGAGAATGTCTTATTTAAGGAAACCATTCCACCCTACTCAAAGGGGGTATAACCTTATTCTATGGCCGTAAAAGTAATCCTATCAGAGTACAACAGGCATAACATCTGAACTAATGGTTTGTATAAAAGGTAAGCTGGGGGGAGGGAGGAGGCTTCACTCTTACTAATACACAGCTCAAAAGTGGGGTTGGTAGCCCCTGGACCTCACTTGGGTACAGGCGTCATAGATATTGTACGGCATGGGGCACTGTGGCAGATTCATGGTTCTCACAAGTTACCACAGATTGAGTTCAAGCTTTATTTCAGCCTCTCTTGTTCACCAGTGCGGCAGCCTCAAGGTCCAGTTAGAACACCCAGGTCTGGCTACCCAGGCAGGGGGATACATAAAGCTAGTCACTATGACCTAAGAGGCCTCCTTCATTGCATGCACCACTCTTCTGAGTCACATCAGGCTTGAGGTACAGCTGTTCTGGAGTTCCAACTGCCTGTTGCTGCTGCTGAGTAGGGACTATAGGGTCCACGTTCTCACAATGAAAGATCTCCCAGCATGGAATACAGGCGCCAGGACACCCAGAACTTCCTGGAATACACGTGATCTTAAAATGAAGCTTAAAAAACATGTCTCAATACCTCAACCCCCAACTTGGTGCCTAGAAGTGCCTTATGAACACAAGAAGTGAGCACAACTATCCCAAATTCAGATAAGCAGGGAGTAGTTCCCTGCAGTGCATTTTCTGGTTGCGAAGGCAGATTTCGTGGCCAACAGCTTTTGTCAGGATTGTTTAGCCCTACGAGGGATATAAGGAAACTAGAACAGGATTTTCCTAAGTCAAGTCGGCCTTCAAACTCTAGGGATTAATCTCCTATGGTATTAATAGTTATAAATGACAATTTCTGCTCATGTATTTTTTTGTGAGAACGAAATGATAAATACTTCCTGATGATTCCAGAATATATTGATTATGTGACTTTAAGCAAGTTACTTAACCTTTTGTATCTGTGTCTGTCTGTAAACTGGGGATTATAACAGTACTTAGTTCATAGCATTTTTATGAGTAGTACATGAGTTAATATGTGTAAAGTGCTTAGATCAATGCCTGACATATAGTAAGCACTCCCTAAATCCTAGCTATCATCAATTTATCACTATTATTTCCAATCTCCACCCCATCTGCCTAGAATACTAAAGATGGGAAAGAAGGGAGGGAAGGAAGGAGGGAGAAAAAGTAAAAGGAAGGAAGGAGCTTAGGGTTAGCCAGGGTGAAGGAGGTTAGACAGGTCTGGCAAATATGTAGAACCATGCCTAGAAGGAATGCTTGCCAGGAAAGAACCTAATTAATGATATGGGTTAAAAAGAGCAGACGCCAAAACTGTCTCTGTGCTGGCAGAAATAAGAAGCAGGACACAAGCTTTATCAGACCAGGAAGGGAGTGAGCGTATGGGAACTGTACTGCCATATACAAACAGAGCCTCAGGCAGTTTGGTTGAAACAAACTGAATGAGAGGATAAACAGGTCAAAAGGAATACTCTTGGTACTTGTTACCCATATGTATTGTTTTGTGACCTTTAAAGTCTTTAAGTCTTTTAAGACCTTAAAGTCTTTAAGCATTAGCGCGAGTTTATCATAATTTTTCAGGTCCCCCCCAAATTTTGGGGTTTAATCTCAATTTCAGACAATTATTAAAAAACAATATAAATGTCCCTTACTATCAAAGCCATTGCAAATATTAAAAAACACAGTGAACAATTAGTACACATGTAATTACAATTAGTACATGTGTGCTAGTAAATGTAGGACAGTATGATTCCTTGAAAAACACATATTTATTCACAAAAAAATTCTCAAAGACTCAAAGAAGTAGAAAAGCAAATCTTTGGCCACCAAAACTACCAAACACACAGAAAGTCAGTAGTTGGATATAATCATTCTATCATTCTTGACTAATCTGTCACGTTGAGGAAATTTTTATTGAGAGCAATTTTGTTTTCTACCAAATTGCTGAGGCGCTCTTCATATGTGGTAGTTTGTTTTGACTGCTTTAACCAAATCATCTCTTGCCAGCAGAGAGCCAAAGAAGCCAACTGATTAGGATGCCAAACTGCAGGCTGGTGAGATAAGTGAAGGGTCAAAACAGAGCGAGAAGAGTCAAGGAAAAATGGGGAGAGCTCAGGGCAAGGCTTAAAACACATACATCTCACCAACACTGAGTCAGTCTTCCTTCAAAGGGTAGCAAATTCATCTTAGATCCAGACTTGGCCCTTAGGATGCAGCAGGACTACACTGACATATAACATAAAATTAGAGAAGATGTTCTGAACGGAAGAGTTCTCTATTATTATTTTTAAAGATATTATTTTTTTTTTAAGATTATTTCTTTGAGAGAGAGAGCGCATGCACGCACACAAGCAGGAGAGCGAGGGAGAATCTCAAGCAGATTCCATGCTGAGCGCAGAGCTGACGCAGGGCTCGATCTCATGACCCGAGCCAAAACCAAGAGTCAGACACTTAACTGACTGCACCACCCAGGCACCCCAGGATTTTATTTTTAAGTAATCTCTACGCCCAACATCATTGAGGCCCAAACTCACAACCCAGAGATCAAGAGTCACATGCTCCACCAACTGAGCCAGCCAGGTGCCCCAAGAGTTTTCTACTTTAAAGAATGTTTTTTAGCATTGACATTATCTTCTTTATGCTAGGTATTTGCTTAGACTTTTTTTCATACATGGTACAAAAGCAAATTTCAAATTTCATTTTCCATATTCTCCTTTGACTTCTTATAAATTTTAAGTGGGGAAGTATTCTTAATCAATAATCAATAAAGTATTACTGTGTTTTTAAAAAACCCCTTCCTGCTTTGTTTGGTGTTAGTGAAATGAGGATAATAGCATCTTCCGCCACAGAAATGATGGAATAATTAAGGGAATGTAAGTGAAGTATTTGAATTCCAGAGAAAATACACTCTAATTTTATTATTTTCCTTTTCTAGATAAATGGGTAACTTACTCAGCTTAAATAGTAACTAATTGTTATGAATTTTCAAACTTGTTGCATTTGTATTTCTCATCCCATTACTAATTTCTGAGGTTAAAACTCTTACCTTAAAACCTTCAGAAGTTTTGCTCACTTAACAAGCTTGCCAACAGCAGATTACCCATGCATCATCCAGTCTATCAGCCTTTAAAACAGGAAAGTGAATTTGGGGAATTCCATGCTAAAGCCGAAAGCCACTAAAGAACATTATGCCTTTTCTGGTTTTGATGTCATGATTTTGAAAGACTCCATGATGAAATGCTTTTATGTTTTTGTTTTTTTTAAAAGATTTTATTTATTTATTTGACAGAGAGAGAGACAGCGAGAGAGGGAACACAAGCAGGGGGAGTGGGAGAGGGAGAGGGAGAGGCAGGCTTCCTGCTGAGCAGGGAGCCCGATGTGGGGCTCGATCCCAGGATCCTGGGATGACCTGAGCCGAAGGCAGACGTTCAACCGAGCCAACCGAGCCACCTAGGCACCCCTAAAATGCTTTTATCTTAAAAACTGCACTTGGGGGGGCGCCTGGGTGGCTCAGTCGTTAAGCGTCTGCCTTCGGCTCAGGTCATGGTCCCAGGGTCCTGGGATCGAGCCCCACATCAGGCTCCCTGCTCGGCAGGAAGCCTGCTTCTCCCTCTCCCACTCCCCCTGCTTGTGTTCCCTCTCTCGCTGTCTCTCTGTCAAATAAATAAATAAAATCTTAAAAAAAAAAAAACTGCACTTAGGGAGCGCCTGGGTGGCTCAGTCTGCTGAGCGACCAACTCTTGATTTCGCCTCAGGTCATGATCTCAGTATCCTGGGATCCAGCCCGTGTCCCTCATCGCAGAGCCAGCTTGTCCCTCTCCCTCTGTTCCTCCCCTCCTCACCCTTGCTGGCACCTGCGCTCTTTCTCTTTCCCAATCAATCAATCAATCAATCAATCAATAAAATAAAATCTTAAGAAAAAAAAGACAGCCTTTCAAAAACATACAAACAAACCCCCCAAAAACAAACAAAAAAAACACAACTTGGTACCACAGAAGAACCTAGAGGCTGGAGATCTGGTTCTTCTGGTCATGCCATTTATTAGATGACTAGCCTTAGAAAAGTTAGCTTCTCTGGGCCTTAATTTCTCTTCTGTAAAACCTCCTCTCAGCTCTAAATTTCTGATCCTGTGCTTACTAGTTTATTTCTTCAGTGTCTCATGGATTAATCAGGAAGAAATCTAGAGAAAAGCAAGAATTTTACCTGTATCATTTCATCAGTTTTGCCAGCTCACCCATCCTATTTCTACTTTTAAGCTGAGAACCTTTCCCTTGCTTGTGATCTTTCCCTCTTATGCACTTTATGAACAAATTATAATATTAATCACAAACACCTGTAGAGTGCTTTCCAAGTTTTATCAACCCCTTCTGCAAATACTCTGATTATTATCACTACACCTCAGGCTGGTATGTATTATCTTCAGTTTACCTGGCTGGCCCAGAAGAGTTCAATGAATTAATTGTCCAAAGTAACACAGATAATAAGTTATGGGAACAAGCCTTCTGATTCCAAAGTCTATACTCTTTTCACAACACTACAGTTCCTGCTAGGAGCAGATCCAGATTTTGTGGAGCCTGAGGTGTATACAATTTTGGTGGACATTTTCAAGAAAAGGAATACAAAATTACAATAAAGCACTAACATGATCCTGTGAACACATTGTTAGGGCCCCTCTCAGGGCCCTGGAAGGGGTCTATTCAAGTGCTTTTAGAATTATCTTTAGGATTCAGTTTCATGGTTTTCCATGGTTATACAATTATTTAATGCTCACTATATGCCAGACACTTAAGTAAAATACTATTTTTATTACCATTAAAACCCTATGAGGTAGGTACTATCCCCATTTTACAGAGCAGGGAATGAGGCTTGGAGAGTAAAATAATTTGCCTAGGGATACAGAGCTTTTAAGTGCAAAGTATCAAAATTGGAACTGACACCTGGCTCCTGGGTTGGTATTATAAACCTACCCCACACTGTTCCTACATAAGCCTTCTTTTCGGGTTTCCTGGGAATCAACTTATTCTACCACTTCCCACTACATTCTATAGTTCTGGACCTGATAAGCTCATGTCTGAACCAGTCCCATTTTTCTCCCTAACTCAGTTCTCCTACCATCTACCATGAAAGCTGCTACCACCCTAACAATCCTAAAGCCCTGCGGTTCTAAATCCTGGCCACTGGGGTGGCCTGAATTGCCTTAATTCTCTGCATTTATCAAAAGTGAAAAGCAGTTACTGCTCATATGCGGTGCTTGGCCATAGATTCTGTACTGTCTTCTGAGGTGTTGAACTATCACTGAAAACTTTGTGTGAAACAGAGGCAGAGTGGGTGAAGGGAAAGCAACATTTACATCTCAGAACCTGATTTCTCAGTCCCCACTCCCCAATCTTAGTTCTTCATTTGCAAGACAAAATCTTAAGGCCAACCTCACAAGGCTGTGAGAATTAAGGGCAGAGAGGGCAGGGTTGGGGCCAACAGCAAGTGGTCATCAAATATTGGTTGATTTCTTCTGCCTGACTCAACCCTCCAAAGAACTTGTAAACTCATTGAAGGTAGGGGCCTTCATACATTTTTCGTATTTCCCAAAAGCTAACATAAGAGACACCTCATGATTATTCAAGCTGATCACTTAAAATGATACACTTCCAGTGTCTGGACTTGCTCAAGAATTTAATTTACAATGGCTCTTAGAACAAAATCAGACTCTGAAGTCTGACTTTGGATGTTGGTCACTTACTCTGTGACCTCTGGAAAGTTACCTAACCTCTCTGAGCCTCAAGCCCCTTATTTGTAAAATGTTAATAATAGTTACCGACCTCATAAGGTTATGAGGATAATTCAGGTGAACTGCTAAGTATATAATCAGTCCCTCAGAACTGCTAGCTCTAATTATATCCTGTCCCGAACATTCAGTGTCCAGAAAAACTTGGCCTCTGCATTCTCGTTTCTCCATGTTTCCAACATACACACCTCCCTAGGGACCAGTCTCACCACCCTCTGACCTGCTCTTCTTTCCCGACTTCTGTGTTTAACACTCAGCATTCATCAAACGCCACAGGGGAGAGACTCTGTATTAAGAAAGTTCCACCACGTCTCTCATCAAAAGCACCAAAAGTGCCCAGGAGGCTGGTTCTACTACTGTTGCCATTTTAGAGAACAGGAAACAGGCCCTGAGGGTTTGAGTGACTTCCCCGAGTTCACCGAACTCTGCGGAGGCCACAGCCCGCGCTCTCACCGCCCGCCCCTTCGGCCTCTTCCCGGGCCCGCGGTGGCCCCACGTCCATTCACACCCTGCCCAGTCCCTCCTCTTCCAGTCGCTTCCCTGCTCCTCCGCGCGCCCGTCGCCCCCCACACCTGAGTCAGGCCCCCGGGGGTACGCCCCATCCGTCCTTGGCGGCTTTTCCCTTTTCTCTGCCAGAGACTGAGGGGGAGGCCGGCGCCGATGTCCCGCACGCGTGTAGGTCACCGCGAACTCCTTGGACTAGGGACCGGAGGGGCGAGCTCCGCAGAGGAGCACAGCAGCGGTGTGGCCGCCGCATAGCGGGGGCGCGGAGCGCGGGTCGTGCCGGGCCGCCGGTCACGTGGCGGGGAGGGGGCGCCGGCGCGCGCCAGGGCGCGGGCGGGCGCGCGCGCCTGAGAGCGTGTGGAGGCGCGAGTCGCGGTTCGGGCGTATGTATGGGGGGGGAGGGGGCGGCGGCCGGGAGGGCCGACTCCGCCCCATGTGCGCATGCTCCGGCCCCGGAGGATTATAAGGCAGCCCCGCGGGGCCGGCCCGACAAAGTGCTGGCGAGCTGCGACGTGACCTGCCGGCCGCGTGTGTGCCCGAGAGAGCGAACGAGGTAGCTGGCGAAGGACGCGACCGGGACCCTGGGCCCTGCGGGACTCCAGCTGTGTCACGTACACGCTTGGCGGCGCGAACCGCGCATAACGGTTAGTTGGGTAACGGCCGGCGGCGGCGCTGGGCGCGGACCCCGCGGTTCCCCTGCCTCCCTGGTGGGTGGGAGGGAGCCTCGGGGGGGCGCAGACCTGGGTCTCGCGGGAGGGAGGCGGCCGCTTAGCCCCGGAGCGTGGCGTTGGGCAAGGAGACCTTGAGGCGATGGGGACAGCGCCTCGCCCCGCCGAGCTGCGGCCCCGTGGTCAGGTGCGGGCCACCGGCCTGGCCGGGGAGTTGGGTTTGCGCGCCGGTGACCTTGCGCAAGTAGCTTTTCCCCTAGCGTTCAGGAGTCTCCCCAAGAGATGCTTTTGATTTGGAAAAGGGACGACGTGGGGCCGGTTCACGTGGTGCCTCCCCGCTCTCCTGGCCGCGTTCTGCTCCGAGGGAAGGGACTCGGGGCGGGAGTTATTTTGGACTCGTGGCATGCCCGCCCCAACCTCGGCCAGCCAATCCTTGCCCCACCTGGTGACTTGCGAGAGTGGTTTGGGGAGCCGCAGCCCCCGCAGCCAAGACGTGACTGCAGGGTTCGCGCGGACTTTGCGGAGGGAACAGTGCAGCTGGCCGACTCCGGGACTGGTGCTGACGGGGACTCTTTGTCATTCAACCTGTGGCTGCCGAACATCGACTGCAGCGCCCTCGCGCTCCTGGTCTTGAAGGCGGCCCTGTGGGGAGGAATCTGAAGGATAGCGTTACACTTGGTCGGATGCACTCGTTTTGTTCCAAGTGCATCCTTTTTTTCCACGTGCATTTTAAGCATTTCGTGTCTTTGTCACGACTTATTTGGTGTGGCAAGCAGTGGCCCAAACTACTTTGTAATTATTTTCGACCAAGAAACAAACGGATTTCTACTTGAGCCGGGTTTCCAGCGTTTGCTTAAGAACTAGGCTCCTAGAAAGCAGTAGAATGTTTACAGAGCTACTCTTTACCATAACTAGTTTTGAAATGCTTTTTTTTTTTCAAAAGTTATTCCGGTTTCGAAATAAAATGCGTACACGTCAGTGCCCTGATAAAACAAATGTGGGCTTAGTAACTAGTGGAATGTCGTGATAGGGTGAACTCTGAATTGTGTGAGAGTTTGGAAGAGTATGACTAAGAATTAGGCATTAATAAACAATGTCAGTGTCGTTTACCAGAACTGTGAGTGAAATAGAGACTATGTATCTTCAGCTTTTTAGTTTGGCATTAAGTAGTACCCATTAGTCCAAGTCTTATGCCCTGGAGTACAACTTGGCCTTCAAATTGCCATAGAAAATATCAGGAATTCATGACATCTAGCCTTTAATATAGGTAATGGGTAAGTATTATTTAAAAGTTTAACATACTTGAGTAATTTAGGGTTTAGATAAATGCTGTTCTTTAATCATATTGCAGTGACTCTTGTTAAATATGCAAGTTAATGGTCTGGAAAGCATTTTGTGAGATTTTTATAGCTGAATAGGTTTAAAGGTTTGGTTGTAAGCTTAACATAATAGGCTATAACATCCCTAAACAGATAAAAAAAGGATAATAAGGTCATAGGATGAAACCATTTGATAGTGTCTCAATAGTTTACATGTCTTTTTATCTTCTAAATATTAATGCATATAATATTAGCCCTGGAAAAGATCTTAATGACCAGCTAGTCAGATTCCCTTATTTTACAGATTAGGAAATTGAAGTTGGAGAAGTTAAGTGACTTAACATCTTAGGTGTGAAAACTTGTTGATGTTTTTGTGGGAATTAATGTGTCTTTTGACTCCCATTTAATCAGATTGGCACTCTTGAGCTTTCTGTAAAATTGTTAATATGGATATAAATTTATACTAAAATAGATATTTTGAATAACTTTCCCAATTTATGTCCTTCATTCCCATTGTGTTTTCAATCCACTTTATAATGCATCCCTGTATATAGGATTTAGGTCCCTGTAAATACCTATATGGCCAGTCTGTTTTTGTTGCAGATGAAGACTAGGAAGATGGAACTTGGATGTGAGAATAACAGACCAGAGAGTTGTGAATATTTTTGTATTCAGCAATTTGTTATTAGCTATTAGGCACTATGAGAGACTTAGGATTTGGCAATGAACAAGTTCTGGCCCTATCCCTCCTGGAGTTTGTAGTTTAACTGGAGAGCAGATAGGTAACAGTGATTACCACAAGTACTCTTTATAAACATATATCGAGTGTTATGATAGAGGGAGTACAGGTTCCTGTGGAACGAAATAGTGTATTCTGTACTATGAGAAGATACCCAACCCAGTATAGAAGCAGTCTGGGTACACCTCTCTGAGGAATGCTATTTAACTTTTTAGACTTGAAGTTTAGGAGCTAACTAGGCCGGGAAGTGATGGTGGAGAGCATTCCAGCCATGAATGCTGAAGCTACAGTCAGAATACAGGGTACATTGGAAAAACTGCAAGAATTTACCAAAGCTAAAGCATAAGAGGGAGCAGGGAAATTAGGGAGAGATGGAAGTTGGAGAGGTAGATAATATCAGATAATGGAAGGCCTTATAAGTCATTTTAAAGAATTAGGGAAGGGACTAGGTTAAAAATTTAAGGAAGCACTCTTGCATTGAAGCTAATCAAAGGCGGTTTAGGGTTTAGGGTAAAGATTTTATTTATTTGACAGAGAGAGACAGTGAGAGAGGGAACACAAGCAGGGGGAGTGGGAGAGGGAGAAGCAGGCTCTCCGCCAAGCAGGGAGCCCGATGTGGGGGCTCGATGCGGGGCTCGATCCCAGGACCCTGGGATCATGACCTGAGCCGAAGGCAGACGCTTAATGACTGAACCACCCAGGCGCCCCAGTTTAAGGGTTTTAAGTGGAGTTGAGGATCATATTTTGCATTTTAGGAACCTCACTCTGCATACAATGTGGGAAACAGGCTGAAGGAAGTCTGTTGGGAGTGTGTGAGACCACAGTGATGGACAGTAGTGGTAGGAGGGAAGAGGCGGGGAGCACACAGGATTCAGTGGCAGACCAGATGTGGGAAACTGGGGCAGCCAGAGTTAACAGTATCTCCGAGGTCTCTAGCTTGACCAAATATGATTTTGTGGGTTTATCAGATGGTATTTGTCTCCATTTAACCAGTGGGGGCAATTAAGACATTGTGTGACTAGCCCAGGGCTGCTCAGGTTGTAAGTCTGGGAAATAAAACAAATCCATTCCTGTCCTCTTTGTAGTTCTATTGGTGTGATTGATAGTGATTTTTTAAATTTATTCTCCTCTAAACAAACTACTATCGAAAAATTTCAAACATAATTGAGAGCCAGTGTTTCATCTATACCCTTTTCTACTCCCCCACAACTGCTAGTGGATTATTCTGAAGCAAGTCGTATGTACATAATTACTCCGTCTACGAATATTTCAGTATATCTCTAAAAGATATGATTCAAAAAATCATAACCACATACTATTATCTCACCTGTAAAAATGAACATAACCAAATAACCAGGCAGTATTCAAATTTTCCTCAGTTGGCGTTCTTTTGTTTTTTAAGTGAGCTCTACATCCAGTGTGGGGCTTGAGCTCAGGACCCCGAGATCAAGAGTCACATGCTCTATTGACTGAGCCAGCCAGGCGTTGTATCCCTAAGCTTTTTCTTTTTAATTTTTTAAGATCTATATATTTATTTGAGAGAGAGAAAGCACGGTTTGGAGGAACAGAGGGAGAAGTCAGGCAGACTCCATGCTGAGTGCGGACGGAGCCTGAAGTGGGACTCCATCTTATTACCCTGATATGGCGACCTGAGCCAAAACCAAGAGTTGGATGCTCAACCGACTGTGCCACCCAGGCACTACCACCCACCCCCCCAAGTTGCTTTTAAATAATTGGTTTGTTTGATTTGGGATCCAAACACAGTCACATATTACATTTGGTTGATAGATCTTTTAATCTACAGTTTCCCCCTTTCTCATTCCTCATAATTTATTTGCTGAAGCAACCAGGTTATTTTTCCTGAAGTTTCCCTCATTCTGGATTTTGTTGAATATATCCCTCTGGAATAGTTTTAACATGTTTTAGTTCAACATGTCCCTTGATCCTGTAAGTTGGTAGCTAGGTTGAAGACTTCAAGCATGCTTAGATCAGTTCAGGTTTGATTTCTGAGAGTAGGGACAGTGTGGGGGAGAGGACAAAATATAATTCCTAGGTGATGACGTATATTTCCATCAGGAGGCCTATGTTTGGTTATCACTGACTCTGCTATATTAATGGCATGGTTCCATTTTCTCATTAGTGGTTTGCAAATGGCCTTTAATTCTCTAACATTCCTTTTGGGTTTTTTTTTTTTTTTTTTTTTTAAGATTTATTTAGAGCACCTGCGTGGCTCAGTCTTTTAAGCGTCTGCCTTCGGCTCAGGTCATGATCCCAAGGTCCTGGCATCGAGTCCCGCATCAGGCTCCCTGCTCAGCGGGGAGCCTGCTTCTCCCTCTGCCTGCCACTCCCCCTGCTTGTGTTCTCTCTCTCTCTAATAAAATCTTTAAGAAAGAAAGATTTTATTTATTTATTTGAGAGAGAGTGAGGGGGAGGAGCAGAGGGAGAGGGAGACGCAAGCTCCACACTGAGCAGGGTGCCTGATGCGGGACTTGATCCCAGGACTCTGGAATCACGACCTGAGCCGAAGGCAGGCGCTTAACAGATTGAGCCACCCAGGCGTCCCTCTCTTAACATTCCTTCTTAACTGATTAACTAGAATACCTCTATAGAGAGAAGTAGGGTTTTTTTTCCCAGTTTATTTTGAGATATAATTGACATCACCATATAAGTTTAAGTTATACAGCATAATGGCTTGACTAGCATATATTGTGAAATGATTGCCACAATAAGTAAGTTTAGTTAGCATCCATCCTCAACTCATTAGATAAAGAGCAAAAAAATTTTTTTTCCTTCTGAAGAGGACTCAGAATTTACTCTCTTAACCTTCATATATATCATATATCAGTGTTAACTATAGTCATCATGTTGTACTTCACATCGCTGGTACTTATCTTATAATTGGAAGTTTGTACCTTTTG